GAAACGAAATGAACCGATAAGAGAAGACGATCGACCACAATAGAAAGAGAAAATTTTTCGAATCAGAAAGCTTACGAACGGATATAAATCTTGAAGAACAAGAATAAGAATGACACCAAACAACGAGAATAACTACAGTGAAACAAAACGACGAAACAAACTTTGATTTGCCATTCGGAATACCCAATTTACAATCTGACGATCCGGCTAGAAGCGCTGCCAAAGCTAGCGAGTAACCACTTATCGCATCTCCACATACTTTCATATGCTCCAATCTGTAACGGTTATCAAAATACAACTCCTCATTAGTTGAACATACACTTAGACATATCCAAATGAATGAAATCAAATAGTATCCAAAAATTTCAAAACGAAATCAATGATATTAGCACACCAATCGATTTCGAGCAAAAATTCCCTCTGCGAACCATGATCTGGCTTGTATCTATTAACTAATTATCTGTCATTAAAACGAAATCCAAATGAAATCAAACAACGGCATCATCATCACTAACCTACTGATACACCGATCAATCAACGGTGTCAATTGCGACGGTACACTAATCGTAGCGCATCGCAGACACCATGCTGCAGCCACACGAGTTGCTTGAATTGGATGCAGCAAACACGCGAATATCGGTTCCATTATACCTGTAAAACATACATATCAACTACAACTGCTATCATAAACAATAACCAAACACCACTTCTTTCAATAACTCGCATCAAATGGCTCGTTCGATTTTGTTATCTTTCATCATCCACATTATTCTATGATATCTTGCTGCTTTTCTTGAATTTTTGCTGTTTCACAAATGAATTTCCTACAGAGTTTCCATGTAATTAAGCGCAACGAGATTCCAAGAAATAACTAAAGACAAAAACACGCAATTTCATATATCACGCATCAATATTATTCTCGAATCGAACACACAATTTCTCTCCTTTCAATCATTCAGTTTTGAATAGTGCACCATTTAAAAGAAAGAAAATCCCTGAAAATGTAACAGAATGAAACAACCCTAACCTGATGCTTCAACAAATAAGGGTGTCACAGCCGTACCGATTTGTCGAACCAAACACGATATCTCCAGAAGTATTGTGATCGATGCTTGTGCGCTTGCGTACGCTTCTGGACCGAGCACACGATCGACACCCGGATCGGGATTATAATCTATAATGCACTCAGAAAAATTTTTATATTTCATCAAATTCTCATCGATGAACCCTTCATCAACTTTTATTATCCCTCCAAAAAACAATCTAAAATTACATACCCTCCCCTTTTCTCTTTGTCATATTCATACCTGCGCATACCTACATCCCTCATTTTTTATCACAGTCACTCGCTACAGTCCATCATACCCATAGACTGCTATCAAAAAACTTCGCAAATAATCAATCTGAATGAAGTAATCCCTTCCCAATGCATCTTTTCCATCAATAATAACTTCAAACTAACCAAACGAATTGATACAGTCGGCTAGAATGGCGCCCAGTTGCTTACAAACAGCAATCTGTGCTTGTTCACTTAACATTGCACCCATCGTACACCTCAGAATGTAGCCAATACATCGACGCATATAAACCACTTCGGCTGCTTGAGCTGGATTACTGCAAATTTCAGTCACTTTCTTAAATTATCGTTCATAAAGTGATCGATTCAATCTCTTTTCCATGTAAGTTGTCGCTTAAGCTATTCCACGTTTGATTTATCGTCATTTAAAATAATTTTATGATGACGGCTAAATGAGACTTGAAAATTGTCGGGTGAAACTTTTGATATTTTCGATGAACGTTTCCATACTTTGTATATGCAAGTGGTCCACATTTTGCGATCACTTCCACCAGATGCCTTAACACCATTAACATGTTCTTCTCGAGCCATAGGGAACCTAATTCTTTGATGAGTTCAATATATCCCTGAAACATAACAACAACACTTCATTCTCTTCAGTCATTTTCAATCGACTTTCGAAACGAACTGAAAAATAAACAACATTCAATTCGAAACTTATTCAAATTTTTCGAGTTTCCACTTAATTAAGCGCAACGAGATTCCAAGAAATATAAAGACAAAAACAACGCAATTTCAGATATCACGCTTCAACATTATTCTTAAATCGCATATGCGATTTCTCTCCTTTCAATCATTCAATTCTGATTTATTCGCGATTCTAATGTGTCTCTAATTTCTTTACATTTACACTTATGTGTATACAAATGAATCCTATGCAGCAAATAAATCCCAATACCAATTTTTCGAGTAAATAAAAGAAACTACAAACGAATAAAATAAATTCTCCTCCAAAAATGCAGCAACACACTCACTAATGTCACTCCAATTCGTATCTCCTTCTGTCCACCAGTCACTGCAGCCGAACCACTCTTCAAGAAACCACCAATACCACCACGTAAAAAACCAACCGACAGAATGCCGAACGCCTCCTCAACTGTGGTTAATTTTGCCGCTGAATTGGACGCACCGGTTTGCTGTTTACTCCCTAAAGGTGCTAATCAGCAATAACCGATAAAATTATAGCCGATTTATAATCCAGGTCATGTTAATATTAATAATAATAATAATACAGATGAAAATAATAATAATAACTAACCCGGGGTGGTGGCCTTCGGTGGGTTGTTAGCCGTATGAAAGAGAACGGCAAAA